TTTACTCGTTCGAAATACAAGCCTCGGCTTTTAACGTCACACTCGTAACGTAACATTTACCATTCTTACGTCATAAGTTACTAAAGGTTTCATTTGAGAGCTCACCTTGAAGACGTCCGGCTTGAGGACGGAGCGCGTCAACTGATTGGAGCTCAGGTCGAGCTCCTGCAGGGCCGTGAGGTTGCAGAAGGCCTTCTCGTCGATCACTTGGATTTCGTTGTGGCTGAACGACAGTCTGCGTAGATTCGGCATCGCCGGGAGGATCTCTACGTGCGCGATGCCATTATGATCGAAGAGCGCTTCCTGTACAAAATATTGATGGATTCGTTCATTTAATACTCATAAATCTATTGATTCTCTTTGGTTACATAAAGTGAAACGTTTATAAAATTTAGATGTTTTGTAATAGGCAGAGCACGTGAAGCAAGTATATATCTTCCATTAAGTTCTCTTTAGTTTGTTGCGTTACCCAGACCGAATAGTCAAATTTAATCGAAATTTGTAGCTCATTGGAATTGTTACACAGTGAATAAATCATTGTATATTTGTATCGCAACGTATTATATCAGAATACTTGATTGCTTGTCGCACTGGGCCTAATGACCTCGGTTGATAATTCCCCATTCTCTTATTATTCTGAGATGTCTTTTTTTTGGCTTAGCCAAAGGTTAGTGTGCTATGTGTTGCAGTTCGCACACATTTTGCGTTTTACTGCTATGTGTACTGAGATGTCCGACGGTACTTATCTAGTAAATAACTATACTCTGGTTTAAGTGTAGTATCCCTTCGAGGTCACGAGCTGAAAGGAGAGGGGGGGGGAAGTGATTTAATCGAGAGCATCATTCGTACCAACCTTTTTAAGTGGTAACAAATATCCCGATTGGATGCAGTGTCCCCCTCCCCTTCCAGCTTCTGATCTTGAAGAGACACTATTGAAATCGAGGTATAAGACCCACGCGTTTTACGTTTCACTGCTATGTATACTGAGATGTCCGACGGTACTTATCTAGTAAATAACTATACTCTGGTTTAAGTGTAGTATCCCTTCAAGGTCACGAGCTGGAAGGAGAGGAGGGGCAGTGATCTAATAGAGAGCATCATTCGTACCAAAATTTTAAGTGGTAACGAATATCCCGATTGGATGGCAGTGTCCCCCTCCCCTTCCAGCTTCTGATTTTGAAGAGACACTTTATTTAAATCGAGGTCTAGTGGTCCTCGGTACCTCAACGTCCAAGGGCCACGCGTCGTCGGAACGAGGCAGTCGCTCCAGCCCCCGCCGCGTGCAGTTGAGCAGCTTCGCGCTGCACGAGCATTTGTCGCAGAGCTTCACCTCCTGAGCCGCTGTGGGCGCCACCAGTAGCAGCACCGCCGCCGCCGCTGCCACAGCCACCGCTGTCGTGCACATTCGCACTAGACACAAACACACGAAGATTTATTGATTAGTGATGTAGTGATTGAGTTATTGACTACATTGATTAGTGACAGGACAAGAAAGAGGAAGAACAGATCGCGTGTGGTCAGTGTTAAAACAATAGGATATTTCAATAAATTAACGTCGCCTAACAGACAAGAGTAGTAGTTTCTTCTCAATTCATATTTTGGGATAATTTGGGAATGGCAGAGACACTCCCGTATTAGTTTTCTATTTCCTTTGGTCTCGGCTAGCTATACGAACTTGGCACATACTCTTGTTAGCTGTCATCTGAAGCCGCCCAAAGTTCATTTTTTCGACATTTTCTTAATTTTTCGGTTTCTAATTGTGGATAGGAAATATTATTTTAAGATTGTTACAGTACAATAAAACCTTGTCCTAAATGGCAATTTACTTTGAAAAACCTGGAGCCGTTTTTAAAACACTGGCGTTTAAGTGCTACTCTAAGTTCAAAAATTGAAGCTCTTTTTCACAGAAAAGTTTTGAGGTTTCGAAAAACTTCATTTGAAATAATTTTAAGTACTTTAACTTACAAATACAATAGTGTTTACAAATAGTTGAAAATATGCATACCAACCGCGTGAGAGATCTTAAAAAAATACATTTGTGTAATTTTGGAGAAAAAAATACACCGAAATGAACTTTTGGTCATATTAAAGAGTGAAATTACCACTATCCGTTCGATATGTTGGAAGAAAAAAGTTGGAGCTGTTTTTGAGAGAATAGCATTTGAGCGTTTCTGAAAATGCGGAGTTTTGAGCTAGTGTTCATAGAAAACGGTTGAGTTTTCGAGAAACTTTATATGACATTGACACATAAATACAATAATGTGAAGAAGTAGCTGCTAATGTAGATATTAACAAGATGGGAAGCAAGTCAAAAAATGTACATGACCTTAATGAAAGAACCCATGGAGAACAAATTTTATTTGAAGGAAAAATCTCTCCCTTTAATTTTATAGTTGTAGAAAGGCACCCGAAAAAAATTGAAATTTTGAAATTTTTGAAAATTTAGAGTTAAACATAAAAATGAGACCTGTGCCACCTTTATCAGTGAACGATATTCTTTCAAGAAATGTAAAGGAAATATTTGGAGCCGTTTTTGAGAAAATTTTGAAACTGTCCGGAGGGTTTCGTGTAAAGTACCCGCAAATTTTAAAGAATGGTTTTCAAAATCTCAACGATTCGACTCGGGTTTCTTCATTGTGGAAAAATCCTACGTGTGATTTAGGCGACAGTAGTGTTCACAAACATAAATTAATTTCTGTACCAGTCGTACATTGTACCATGGGCGTTAACTGGTTGTAATGAACTCGGGCGTCAAAAAGCCCTCGATTCAAACGCCCTCGGGATTTTGTCGCCACTCGATCATTAGAACAAGTATAATTCCCTTGATCCATACATAACTGAAATCATCCTCAGAGGCTGCCTCTAACGGTTTTCTCAATATTCTCATTTAATCATTTTCCTTATGAATATCTTGAAAAATTGGATTTCCAAATAATCAAATGCAAGATATTAGAGCTTACTTTCTGTACATAACATTCAGTTTTCGTTAGTGGGTCTTAGAGATACGTGGATATTGACTTCCGAATTGTGAACGGTTTAAGGACGAGACATTTGCACGACTATTCGTAATACTTGCCCTTAATATATACATTATAATTGTTATTTCTACTTCCAAAGAATTTTTTTCTTCTCATGCCATTGCAGGATTTGATAAATATGGAAATTCAGATTTATTTATTCACCCCTTTTCTTATATATTGGGATTCTGTTCAAATACACTGAACATTTTCCAGAAGTACCCCGTAGACTTTGCTTTACGGAAAACCGTACATCATTCCTACGATAAATCATGTTTTTATTCCAAACAAAATTAGTTTTTTTTATGTAAATTAAATTCGAACAAGTACGTACATAAAAATAACAGAATGTCCTATATTGTCTATCACAAATAAGTAATTTGCATTACATTCGTATGTATTGGTCTCACTTTCAAGTTAGTTGTAAGAAAAAGCCCCGCCTGTAGCTGCTTAAGCTGCAAGGCAGCAGCGTATTAAAAAATTCATAGAAAATAAATTCCCCTTCTTCACAGGGATACTGTGGAGGGGACGAAAATAAAAAAAAAGTCTCACTTTCAACGAACCTATCAAAGTCTATCGAGTATCTATCGACCGGCATCCGAGGACTGCGTTCCAAGGAGCGAGGACGATGGCAACACGATAAGCTAGCTGATAGCCGCTAGGCGGAGCCGAGTGATTAGATAACGACTCGACCGTTTCGACCGCGGCACTGAACACTGACAATCGCTGGCGGATGTGTGTTACGAGTTGAATTTACGGAGAAAATAAAAGTTTGTTTCAGCAGAATAAACACGATTCATCAGAAAACTCGGTAATTTTATTTAAGTGTATAAATGTGTTTTAAAATTGTCTTGTTTTAACAGGCAAACATTTCATAAGATTATATATAGTTGGGCTAATAGCAAATATCTTCAAAACGGTTTGAAGTATCGAAATACGATTTAAGGGTTGGAGACGATGTTGTAAATAATCGTTTCTAGTTTGTAACATTTTTACTTTCTGACGAATTGCCACAACATTGAGTTTTTAAATGGAAGAATATATTTCTTCTACCACCATTCTAAAGTACTAGACCAGTCAAATACAATGATATAAGTGTTGTTAATATTTGAAATGACACTGTAGAAACTAGGGGAGATACAAGAGCACATACTTTCTCCCATTATTTCTAAAATTGCAATTTTCGAAAAATCAGAGATTTCAACGAAAACGAGACCGACGCCATTCTTTTAAGCGCCCCGTTTTCGGAATACAAATTGTGGTGAAAAACCTCAACGGTTTGCCCCCCCCCCCGGCGTTGGTTACTGATGGACGAACTGACGAACGGACATAGTACCTTTTGCAGTAAAGTAATTTTTCAGTATTAATGACCCACGAAACATGGATTTTGACCAAACAAAGTATTACATAAGTTACTTACTAAATTTGGGCACATCCTCTTTTTTGGTATCACGAATTTTAGCATGTAGTATACGGGAAAGTAAAAAGTTGTCTCTATTTAACAATCGAAGGCATTTATTAGCCAATCAATTACGACAATAAAAAAGCAAACAAATTGCCACTTTTCTTGGACTTTCCAGTATCTATCAGAATGTAAATTTAATTTTTTCTTTAGATTATTCAATTATTAGTTTGTCGCGTTCTCAGATTCCTTTATTTGATAATTCATATTTTTTTCTACTGAAACTGTTGCATTTCTATAGATATCTAATATCATTAAATTAAAATTAGATTAAATCATTGATGTTTCCCGAAACATCAATTCGCGTGAAATCATTAGTCATTAGGCAAAAAAGAGTTTTTCACTCTCACTTCGCTTTCTATATATATATATCGAAATTGAAAATTCGAGTTTTCAATTTTAGTTTCTGTTCTTATTTGTTTTGCATTCCTATATTGATCTCCTACTTATACATTCATTTATTTCTGTATTGCCGTGTGGCAAAGGCATTAATTCTTCGTTTAGGGAGAGATTCGAATTTGCGTTCCTATTTTACAATAGAAAACTTTTATTGATCAATAAATTAGGACAATTAAAAAGCGAAAAAAAATCACAGTTTATTCAACTTGCTGATGAATTGGTTTAGTTCTGTTCTTGATTAATAAAATTATTACTTTCCCACATATTTAGTTCCCCAAAATGTTAAGTTTTTGGTAGGAAGTTCAACAACCCTGGCCTATGCTACAGTTTCCCTCTTTCCGCCACATGGTGGGTGACCCCCTCTCGCATGTCAACAGAGTATTCGGCTGAGAGTTCGTTAGTGATCCCGAAACGGAACCTGTCGACTCCATGCAAATGACAACTATGATTAATTACATTTATCTAACGGGCTAAAATTAATTTAATCTGTTGTAAGTTCATGAAGATAATTGTAGATAGCGGTATGAAACAGCAAGGTTACTTTCTAATTTTAAATCGGTTTAGGTGGCTCAGGATATATCAACGAATACTACTGCTGTGCCCTAATACTAGTTAGAGAGAAAGGTGTTCGTCCGCTGTCTGAAGAAGAATTTTAGCGACCGGATGTCTGACCGAAATTTGTTTGTATTTTCGCCGATCAACATCAGGCGAATACCAGAGCAGCTTCCTAACAAATGGACATTGGACTTCCCGCAATATTTCCTTCATCATCCTTATCCTATCTCACCCCACAATTACACACACACTTACATGCACAACACTGCCGGAAATGATGGGAGCTTAAAGTTAGATCCAGCTGGGGCGGTGCCTAGCTGGTGGGAGATACCTGGTTGGGGAAAACCCCCGCAAACCGACGTGTAGGTTGGCATCGGACCTCCCCATCCAGCGGGAGAAGATTATCGCCACCTCCCGTGGTAAAAACATGCATTATACTAATGGGTGTAATGACCTCTACTGTTAAGCACACAGAAGCACTAATCAATCAACCGTGAGGTGTGTACTGTTGTGACACTCTTCCAAGCTTCGCCGGACAAAAGGGTTTCGGAGTAATGCCAAGGAAGTGAAGGCAGCGCGGATTTCACCCCATAGTCAGTGGCATACGACATATCATCTGTCCCTCCTTCCGCGCCCCTTAGTGAAATCAAGACGCATCTCCTGTAAATTTGACGACTGTTATTATAAATGTAATTTTTATACATCTAATCGGTCAAGGCAGTCCAAGGAGCGGAACACATCTCTGTTAGTCCCCTCCTGTGTGCTAATTTAACCACTAAAAATTACGACTTTTATGGGTTTGGTTTTGAGTACCTAGTCCATGTGGGATTCTGATTACGACTTAGCTTTTTTAGATAGCGAAAGTTATTAGATCTTTTATATGATAAAGATAGTATATGTTACCGTGAGGTGGGCTATTGCATGGATATTGATAGTTCTGAACTTTGTATAGTTCATCATGGCGATGCACCTATCTC